TATTTACCCCGCAGTGTGCTAAGGCCCAAAGTGCTTCCCCGATTGTGGGTACTCGATAGGGGCGTGTGTCCTTTTCCGCGCGGCAGTGTAGTGTCCTTTGCGGATTAACCGTTTCATCGCTTCATCATATCACCGGGCAGAGCACACTCGCAGAAGGGTACTTAATTGAACACTCCACCTGCGCCAATCATGGTTCGCGCGCTCTACAAATGTACAGGTGTGTAGAGGTATATATACCTTCTTCGTGTAACTTCCCCCCGAAAAAAAAGCACCCCATTTTTTGCACACACGGGAAGAAAGACGTCATGAACGTCCTTCGTGTGGAGGTCCCCCCACGAGAAGGAAAAAATTAACAAACTGGAAAATTTCCCACAAAGGGAGGAACCACTTTGCACATTGACAGTGTCGCATTTGGGTAAGACAGTGAGGGCTGCAAAAAAAAAAAGAAAAAAAAAAGGAAAAAAGGAAGGAAAGAAAGAAGGGAAGAAGGAAAGGAAGAAAGGTGAACATATTTTGCATTTTCTCCACTTCTCTATTCTTCCATTTTTTTTTTCCTTCGCTCCCTATCTTAACGGCCAATCCTGTGTTTCCTCGATAAACGTTACAAACGAACTTTCACCTGAGGGGGAACGAAGCCATTACTGCGCAGGAGTGATCTCACTTTTTTTTTTCCTCTTTCCAACTCCTCAGTTGATCCCCCCGTTTGATCGGTTAACATGCCGGCGAGCAGACCAGTGTGAAAAGTCATTCCGCATGGATTTGTGTTCCCACATTTATGATGGACCCCCTGTGGCAGCTCCACTTAAATGCATATTTCAATGCGAAAGTCACATTAACGACGTTACCGACGTAACGAGGGGTCAACAACTTTGTGCCTTTATCAGACGTGTAGGAGTGTCCTCCCCTCTCTGGTGATACCCTTCATATGGGTCACCAAAATAGAAAGACTGATGCGTCCCCACTAAGTCATTCACACGTCTAGTGAAAAAGGCAGCACAGAAATGCACACCCGATGTGTTGATTAAATTGTTCAACGGGTAAAAAAAAAAATGCACGAGAAATGCACGCGGAATACAGGCGTGTAAGCAAGGAGGAGGATGACAACAACCCATCCATCCAGTACTCCAAACAAATCACACAAAAATGAGAACCCCCTAACGATAAGCAACAAGAGAACAGCTCACGTGTGTCAAATTGAAAGCGGGGTGGCCACGGCTGTCATTCCCCCCAGAACAAAAAAACGAAATGGAGCTAAAGACATAGACGGCCACGTGGCGATAAATCCATAACAACATAACGCCATAATGTTATGGGGCAATCAAATGCGCAACGGTTTACTCTCCGAAAGGGCGATCCACTGGGGATTCATCCGTTGGACGGCGCAGTGTGCAGACGAATTGAACCAAACAGGGATAAACTTTTTCTTCCGAATCAAACGTGCTCAGTCGGTGGGCGCACTAAAGGGCTTCCTAACGTTGCATATGCTTCGGAGTTAACCCATACTTGCAACTTAACACGCACGCGTCATGCGGACAGGAATCACCTCCCGATGTCGCTACCCCACAGCTGCCTCATTTCTGATTAAATATGTCCGTGATGAGGTAGTAAATTACGTAATAAATGGATTGGGGACAGTGGGACGAATACGCCGTGCTGCTTACTCCACTTGGTGAGTTGCAATAAAAATGGGTCAGGAAGGTTAGCTCGCTTGGGTGCGCGGCGTTGTGCTTCCCCACATCGCGGTTCCTCTCTACATCGCTGTTCTTCTCCACATTGCGGTTCCTCTCTACATCGCTGTTCTTCTCCACATCGCGGTTCCTCTCTACATCGTTTTGCTTCTCCACATCGCTGTGCTTTTGCCCCCTCTCCGCGCAAGCCCGCTTGATCGCCTGCAAATCCGAGGAGACGCTCGAGTCCAGGGCCTGCAGCGAGTCGAGCAGAATGAGCAAATAAATAATCCAGACGTACATCATCCACGAGTGCCCCTCCTGCCGATCAACCAAATGGCTAGCTATCACATGCAGGTAGTGAACCACCTGTTTGTAGTTAATACCATAGAGATACAGATGAATGCACAGCGGCGATGAGGAAAAGATTGAAATCAAGTTTTCTCTTCTTTTAAGTTTCGACAATACAGCACACTTAGCACTATGGTACTTCAACCCATCGATTATTCTCCTGTTGTATTTTCTGTGGATATATTTCCTCACACTTCTCACATGATGCACAACTTCCTCCTTCCAACTGGAACCGTCATACTTCGTCAAATTAGTCTCCTTGTATTTGTCTAGTAGTACAAATATTTGATGCTTTGAACTGTATTTCCCGTCATTGTTTCCACTTTGCTGTTCTGCCCCTTTTATGCTCCTCACGCTGACTGTACTTGGAAGTTGGTCCCTCTCATTTTGCATTTGTCTCAAATAGTCGACTATGGATTTGTTTTCCTCGTTCGTTATGTCGCACTCGAAGATTTCCTCCAGGGAAAAAGCCTCGCTTTGCAGGAGTGCGTCTTTGCTGTCCATTTGGGAGAGGGGACCATATGTGAGTAAAATGCATCCTGCGGTCGGGCGGCGCCACTGAGGAGGATAGATCGGAGTGGTTACTCCAGATGGTGACTCGGGGTGGTTTCCTTTTTTGACGTTTTCTCGCCTTGGTAAAAAATCCCCCTTCAGCTTCCCTACCTATTGTACTACCCTGATCAATCACATGTTGCAAAATAACGATGTAGGCGTTAAAAAAATGATGAGGTGCTAGCCAAAAGGTGCCCTCCAGAAATGAGGCAACCCTTTTTTGCAACAGCGCCTTTCATTTGTCCCTATAGAGGGCAGAATGAGAAATGTGATGCTGTGAAACATAAGAAAAGGGAAAATAATAATGCCCCCTTTTCGCAAAGGAGCTTCCCAGGCAGTCCTGTTTTTCCCCTTCAAAAAAGTGCAAATGGATCCCTCACATGTTGCACTATATATATAATTTCTTTTTTTTTTTTTTTTCCGTAACGCTGCCCAAAATTCACCTGACCCGTTCAGGCGAAAGCGCTTTCTGAAAAATTTAAAAAGAGAAGCATCAAACTTCCTAGCCGCTTCTTTTCCCCCTCATTAATGCGTCTCGCTTGGGGTAAATTCCTATCCATAGATGGATGGACGCTGGTCGCACCGCATAGTTGTGCGTGGTCTCTCCGATGTGCCAAGTTGTATCACAATTTGCACATCGTACATCGCAAATCGCACATCGTACATCGCACGTCGTATATCACGCATCGCACATGGTACATCCCACATCGCAGCACGCTACTCCTGCTCGCCCCCGCTGCAGCCCTATCAGAATGTGCTGCACATTTTTTATCGGCGAGGTTAATTCTGCACGTGCGCTACTCCGCTGTTATGCCTGCCGCTTTAATGATTTTTTATTTTTTTCTGTCCCTTTGAATGAACGACGTTTTGATTAAGAGGGACAAATGAACAAGTGAACACGTCATCTGTGCACTGCCCAAGTGTACGGCGGAAGTGCCCTAAACCAACCAGTCGAAGCTAACCCGTTTTTTTTTTTTTTTTTTTTTTTCCTTTTTCCTTTTACCCCTTCCCACGCTGCACCATTTCAATTCAAAAGAGGCACTCCCACCTTTTCTCCTAAGGGGGAAGGATGTTAAACGGGAAAATTGACAAAGAGGAGCCATCTTTCCACTGCGGATTTGGAAAAAAAAAAAAACAATCTTCAGTTTTGTCTCTACGCAAAGCGCAGAAACGATGAGATCAAGTTGGACAAAGGGACCTCTTTCTTCAAAGAAAGTTTGGACGCCAAAAAAAGAACAGGACAGCAAAAGATCATCAAAGGAACAAACATAAGATGTTAACAAATTTGAACATGGTTGTAGGGAAGACCGAGAGGGGAATCCTTTTGTTCCCCATATGGTAGCCATTTTTTCCCTCTCTCTTTCGTGTGTCTTCCCCCGCTTTTCCCATTTCTTCCTTCGTTGATTGTCATGGACAAAATGGACGAGCGTGCTTCTGTCGTGATTTTCCCCTCTCCCGGTAGCGTCCCTATGGGAATCGGCCAGAGTGATGCTTCCGCTAGGTCGTAATGGAAGATTGGCAGGCTTCGTACGGTCGCTTCAAACCGTTACTCCTCCCGTTTTGCTTCCCCCCTCGTACGGCGGCCCCCCTGCAGGAACCTGCCAAAAAAGGACTTCTTCTTTTTATGGCGTGTCCCTGATTCGCTGTCTTCTCCATAGTCATACGGCTGCGGTGCCTCAAATGTTATGTTCTCATTGGCGGATAAATGGGAATTCTTCATTCTCTTCAGACTCCATATTAGGGAGAATCCCTTCTTTGGCAAATCGTAGTTGTGAGAGGTGGTAACACTGGAAGGGATGTCTCCCTCGTCTTTCTCTGGAAGGCTCGGAAAATGGGGGCGGAATTTAGTGACTCGGCGTGGATCCTTACTGCTGTCTCCACGTGGATCCTTACTGCTCTCTCCAAGTGGATCCTTTTTGCTCACCCCATGTGAATCATTTATGTTGACCCCACGTGACCCATTTCTGCTGCTGCTTCCGTTCCGTTGCTCGCGTTTCTTCCCTCCCATAGAGTCACTTTCCTGCCCCAGACGGGACCCCTTCTCCCCCTGCATCGCATGTCGCACATCATTTTCGTGAATACTATCGACGTCTCCTTGGTCATCTTCCCCCTTCTGATTGATCCCTCTGTTCATTCGATTTACTTTTCTGTCTTGGGTCGTCACTTTATCACTCTCTTTGGTGATTTCATATGTAATGGAACTCTCCTTGTGGAGGATGCTTTCCGTTGGGACTCCCCCTGGATATACTGCCTTCCTTATGCTATTCATATCGGTAGAACTACTCTGCACATTTATTTGTCCCTTTACGAGAGGGATGGTTGCCTGGTGACCATCTCTCAAATGGGACGTGGAAGATGTTGCCTCGAAGGAACTTCTCCCACTCGTGTCGCCTGAACCGCTACCGTTGCTGGTTCCTTCCTGTTCGCCATGCAATTTGTGGCCCCGCAAAATGGGGGAGGTTCCCCGTGGAAGGCCTTTCCTGGGGACTACTGAGGGGTTCTTCCCTTTGCGAGCATCGCCGAAGGGGGGCTGCCCCCCATCGTTGTGGTGCGGTTGGCAGTTTCTTTGGCTGCTTATATGGCCGCTCATATCGCCGCTCGTATGGCGGTTCTTGTGGATGTCCTCCTCACTACTATCACTGCTGCCCCCCTCAGAGGAAGACATGCGGTCCAGGAATTTATCGATCACAGAGCGATTATACTGCCTGGGGAGCAATTCCTGCGTGGGTTTTTTTTTCTTTTTTCTTTCCTTTTTCCCATTTGGTGATCCTGCCTGCCTCGCGACACTTCCGCCTGGTGTACGCAACCCATCGCTGGAGTGAATCCATTCCTGCAGCATCCCATTTTCCCACCTCCCCAATTTAAGGAGAAGGTTTCTAGATGCCAGTTCGAACAGGGGGCTGTGGGGGGTGATGTCTCTTTCGCTGATATGGCTCAGGTTAAGGCATCTTAGGTAATCTTTCAGACGTTCTATTTCTTCGAAGGGGGTGTGATTATTATCCTCTGTGTGATTCTTCTGCTGGGGGGCATTCTCTCGAAAGGGGTGGTACCCCTGGTGGGACTCTTTACCATTGCTTCGATTTCTCTCTTCCGATTCATCGGTGTGGTCGGTCTGTTCACTCGTATTGCTCGCCTTTTCACTCGTATTGCCCGCCTCTTCACTCGTATTCCCCGCCTCTTCACTCGTATTGCCCGCCTCTTCACTCGTATTGCCCGCCTCTTCACTGGTATTGCCTGCCTCCCCCTGGAGGACGCTCCACACAGGCGAGTCGCTGCCCCCCCATCGCTTCCGCCCCGCGCGCCGATTCAAATGGCCATTCAAGTGGCTATTCGTCACGGAACAAATGTGCTCCTTTACCCTTTCATAGAAGGTACAGTTAAATTTGAAGCTGTTGCACTTTTTCTTCTCCAAGTGGTCGAAGTAGGAGCGGCAGGTCTGGTAATACCTCATGCGGAGTAGCGTGTTTAGGAAGAGGTACGCGTGGAGGTTGTTACACTGGGGTGTCACCCCGTTTAGGGGGCCCTCCTGTGAAGCGACACCACCTACCTTGCCGCGTACCGCGTAGGGTTGTGCCGCTCCTCCCCAGATGGCCAACTCCAGCTCGCCTCTCACCCGGCCCTTCTCAAAAAAGGACTCCTTTAAGAGAGTTAAAAAGAAGTACTCCTTCACCTTCTTTGTCTGCTCGAAAAAGAGGAAAAAAGGGGCCTTTTCTCTCCGTTCATATTCCCTAATGTTCTTGATCACAATGAAGATTCCATAACCGTGTTGCTTATTGTTAAGCCAATTTCCAAAATAGATTCTCCCATCATTCCACTTATATATGCCTATGCCCTCCTTCCTATTATTCGCACAGTGGTAGCCATAGAACTGCCTCCTGTCTGACCACACGATTTCGCAAGCACCCCCTATGCAGTTCTTCTCCCAATTCGTTATATACATTTTCTTCCTATTAAAAAAGTAAATGCCCTTTTTGGAGAAACAGTTATTTTCTATATGCCCAATATACATAGACTCATTTTTCAGAATAAAAGCTCCAAAGCCATTTTTTTCTCCTTTTCTGTAATTCCCTAAAAAGACATAATTCTCATGAACATGCTCAATTCCCTTTTCATTCTGCTTATCATTTGACCAGAATCCTTTGTAGAAGGTACCATCGGTATGCGTAAACATGCCGTAGTGATTTGTCTTTCCTCCCTTCCAGTATCCCACATATATACTTCGAGAAAAGTGGACGTACAAACCGAACCCTGTAATTTGATCCTTCTCAAACTCTCCAATGTACATGCACTGGTCAGGTGTAATGATCACTCCTAAGCCGTGTTTCTCATTATTTGGACTGACTTCCCCGATGTACACCACCCCTGTATCCCCAATGCACAGCATGTACTGTCGGTAATTTAGCACTATATATTTTAGTAAGATCAAACTTGTGGCATTTCTCTTTTTAAAGAAAAGGAAAAAATCTTCCTCGTACTCCCTAACATACATAAGTATCTTTTTCACGTTAATCATGTAGTCTCCTTCAAGTTGTTCTCCAAAAATGTTCCATTTATCGATATCTTCCTCGTTTTTGTTTTTTCCTTTTTCACCTGACTTGTTCATATTTTTCTTTCCCCACAAACGATAGAAATAGTTGTCATCCTCCGTCTCTTCATTCTCGCTTAGGAGATTTTTCTCCACATCTTCATCCCAGCACAGGTGTACGTGTTGCAGCTTTCTGTTCCCTTCTCCGTTAAACATTCGCGCTTTCGCGCTGTTCACTTCTCCGCAACTGCATTCGTTTCCCATGCCTTCTTTTCTGATCCCCTATGTTAGTCACTTCTTCCAGTGTAAATCGGTTAAAGTGTAAATCGGTTAAAGTGGACGTCTCACCTCTCCACATGCGAAGAAGAACAATGGAAGAGGGCAAAACAGCTGAGTGGTTTATCCTGCCAAGGGGCTATGTCTATCCCCCACAACATTTAGTCCGTTTAGGACGGGCCTATACCTTCTGCGCTTCCGTCCTACCGCATAAAGCTGAATAGTCGTGACAAATGGATGGGCGTATTCAGCGGGGGAGTAAAGACACACTGAAACGCCTCTGCAACCGGTCTATAAGAAACATTTCTCCTTTTCTTCAATGGTGACGAGCACATGTTTAATGGGGAAAAAAAAATTCACTGAAATTGGCACATGCACTTATTTACGCATATAAAGGTATGCCAGGAAGAGACCAGTCTAGGGTCGGTCATGCATGGAGAGATAATTTTCTCTTTTGACAGGCACAAGTGAGAAAAAAAAAAGGGAAAAAAAGAGGAGAGAGAGAGAAAAAACTGCTTTCCTTTCCGTGGGGGCCCTTTTCAGTTTCCCACGTTGGCCCTCCAAAAGTGGGATAACAAAGTGGTGATGTGAAAATAGACAACTCAGCGAAAATGACGCACTGGGAAAGTGAAGTAACAAAACGGCCAAGTAACCGAGCAACAGAGCGGCGAAGTAGCTGAACGAGGCGACGCCCCGCTTTTTTCCCCTCTCGCAAAAATCAGTACGAGGGCTACTTCCCCACACGGGCGCGGTACACACTTGCAGACAACATAAGCAAAATCAAGTTACGCGTAATTCTGTAGGAAAAAAGTGCAGTCCAATGAAGCGCCCTTAAACCAAATTGTGCGCGGCAGATGGACGGAGAAACATCGTAGCGCCGCGATTCACAAATAAGCGCTCGACGGATCATCTTCCCGTGCATACGATGTGGGGACAATTTTACCGCCCTCCCCCGTAGCACTCCATGGAAATGAAAAAATACGCAACGGGTACCTCTCCCATACCCCTGTCTCTACGAGGAAAATTCTAAGAGAGAAGTCCTAGACGCAAACACGCTTCTTTTGTAGTGGTCTATTATGTTTTGACAAAGGCTGTTGTGCGTGAAGCTCTGTATGTGGGGGGGGAAACATTTCAAACGTGTAATCACAGGGGTGGCAAAAAAAGAAAAAGAAAAAAAAAGTACAGCGTTAAGTGGACAAATGGGCGACACACATATCAAACAATACCTCCAGGTCTTTAAACTTTATCCAGATCTCTTCTTTCCTATCTGTAACATTTTCCTATAAAAAAGGGAGCATATATGCATACATTGTAGGGAGAACAAAAAAAAAGGACAATGCAAAAGTGAAAAAGAAACTGCGCACAAGCTTTTTTTTCCCTACCACGTTCAGGACAGAACATACGTAAATGTACACGTCCAATATGAGGTGAGAAAA